AGATCGGATGGGTGTTCTCTTACCATTTTCTTGCTTATTTTATTTTTTGTTTCTAGTATGTCTTTTGCAGTGGTTTTTTGGGGGCATTGTCATGGAAAATACGTCTATATTGTGAAAACAATATAAAGTTCAAGTTAAAGCTTTTAAATCACGACTGTGGGGCCTATTTCAGGTTTGTTCCAGCCTCATTTTATTATATGAAGAGGGGGCCATTTTTTCATCTCCCACAGTATGTTGGGCTATAGTTTCTTTTTGTGTTAAGACTGATGCAAAATATGAGTTAAGCAGCTCTGCTTTCTCCCTGTTGCCTGTTATTTCCTTGCCATCTTCTATCTTTAGTGGACCTACAGTTTCCTTGACTTTTTTCTTGTTGTTAATATGTTGGAAGAAACTTTTTTTATTATCCTTGATTTCTGTTGCAAATCTTTGTTCGTTCTAAGCCTTTGCTTTCCTGACTTCATCTTTGCATATTCTGGCTGTCTGCTGATAATCGGCCTTAGTTATGTGCCCCTCTTTCCATTTTTTGTATTTGTCCTTTTTGTCTTTCAGTTTGTCAGAGAGATCTTTGTGCAGCCATGCTGATTTCTTCTTGAATTTCTTGTTTTTCTTTCTCAATGATATTGTGCTGGTCTGGGCTTTTATGATCGCATTTTTCAGGGTTTCCCACACTTCTTGGGTTGTTTTCCCCTTTAGGATTTTCATCCATGAGATCTTTCCCAAGTTCTCTCTGAGTTTGTTAAAGTTAGCTCTTTTAAAGTTTAGGACATTGGTTGGATTGTTTTCTATTACTAGTGTTTGCATTATATTAAATTCCAGTATGACATGGTCACTTTCACCCAAGGTTCCGGCAATTTCAATTCCCTCTATCACTTCTTCTCTATTTGTAAGGATTAAGTCCAGTATAGTTTTACGTCTAGTTCCCTCCTCCACCTTTTGGGTGACAAAGTTGTCAGCTAGGTTGGTTAGGAATCTGATTGATCTCCTGCTCACTGCAGAGTTTGTTTCCCAGTTGATATCTGGATAATTGAAGTCTCTTATTACTATTGTGGTATACTTCCTACATACGTTTGTTAACTGGTTGGCGAAGAGCTCATTTATTTCTTCAGATTGGTTGGGTGGCCTGTAATATACACCTATGGCAATGTCACTTTTTTCTCTTTTATATACATTCTAAAGAGATTTTATCTTTGATCACATGCATTTCTGTAGATATGTAGTGTTCCCTATATAGTGCAACTCCCCCTCCTCTTTTTGTAGACCTGTTTCTTTTGAACAATTTGTATCCATCCATCAGTCCACTTGCATCCCTGGACCCACGTAGCCTCTGGAGAGATCAGTGGGTATTCTGCCTCTGCTGCCTTCTTTATGCCACTTGTCCATTGTTCCTTCGGCCCAGAATAAGGGGCTCCTGACAGCACCACGTCTTCGCACACGGGTGGCTACTCCAGCTTCCCAGCCCCATTGTTGTTCCCAAAAGTAACACTTTTATCGAATACACTACATTAGCACAAAAGAAGCTAAATCAGCTCTCGGTTTCCTACTCAAAATCCACATAGTTAAACTTGAATTCCCCTTTTGCCATTCCCCTCAGTCTATTGCATTGTCCCATCAAATATGTTCCTTTTGTTATGAGAACTGCCTGGATCGGTCAAACACCTGCGCAGCATATGATCTTGGTGAACGGCCTCTTTGGGCTGTTTCCGCAGCAGAAACGGCCCAAAGTGCACGAGAAGTGGAAGTGGCCCGAAGCACTGCGTGAGCAGCAAAAGCAGCCCAAAGCATGTGAGCAGCAAAAGCAGCCTGAAGTGGTGCGCAAGCAGTGGAAGCGGCCGAAGCGCTGCATGAGTAGCGGAAGTGGCCTGAAGCACGCAAGCAGCAGAAACAGCCCAAAGCGCCATCCTGCCGGGAAGAGCGGCAATGGCGCAATGCACATGGCGTCTGGCTGCAAGTGGCCACAGATGTCAAGTAGCGGCACGACAGGTATCGGGGTGTGGGAGGCCTTGCTGTGGTGGTCCTACCAGTAAGGTAAATGGGTGCGGGGGGCATGGGGCAGCTTCACCCCACCCCCACCCTAGCTTGAATTTTAGGGCTTAGTTTTGGAGTAGGGCTTATATTAGGCCCACCCGCAAAAATCAAGCTAGGGCTTACTATTGGGCTGGGTCTAACTTTCAGGGAAACACGGTATTTGCTTTTTCTTTTTCTTAGGTCCATTTTACCTCAAGATCCACTCTTCACCCAATGAAACAATGGTGTTTGAATATTGTCTCAATCTCAGTCATAAATAATCAAATAAAAATGGTGTTATATTAAGCCTTCTGTTATGTACATACTTCAATAACCTTATGCTTAAAAGGCAGGCAGAAGAGAGACAGAAAGACAGAAAACAGAAACATCAGAGAGGGAAAGAGGGAGAGAGGGAGGGAGGGAAGGAGGGAGGTAGCAATACAGTAAGTGGGGAAAGAAACTAAGACCTAACTGCTTAAATAAGCCTGTAGAGAAATTCAGATTTTCACTCTAGCCCTGAAAAATTAAAAAATTGAATCTACAAAGAATTCTACAAAATGAGAGATGTCTAAGTGAACAGTACTTGTAGATGTAAAGTATCTTATACAGTCGGTAGTCATATAAATATTGCAAGTTTCCAAATGTGTCTACAGTAGTATCATCTGTACAGGATATGTTTGCTTATTTTAATTAATAAATTGTCCATTCATGGCTTAAAGGTTTCATATTTAAAAATACTTCCCTATTTCAAAAGAATCCCTGTGATTTTTATATTGCCTGGTAGGTCACCCCAAAGGATTCAGTTGATTTTGTGTCCCAATGGTCTGTTCTAACCTTAGTATAAAGAGTATTTTTGAAATATATTTTGCAGGGAAACAATCAATTTCTTAATCCCTTGTTTGTCAACCAAAGAAGGTAATTTATCTTTATACAATTTAGCCCCTCAATAATATTTAGATAGATTCCATTTCTTAGATGTAAACTAAAATGTGGTGAAGTATCAAAATGCAGACCAGCTGTCTCTGCCTTAATTCATAGACAGGCAGCTGCATCCCAAGTTACCCCTCATGCATTCTCCACGACCCATGCAGTGTCTCTCATGCACCCTCCCTGATCCATGCAGCGCCTCTTGCATACCACCTGTGCACCCTCTGACCCACAAGGATCTCTCATGCACCCCCATGCATTCTCCCCATAAATGGAGGTTAGCCAATTTAGGTATCTTTGTTCAAAAATTGTTGCTCTATGATGCACCATTTCATCCAACTGAAGGCTACAAGCAGACAAGCATCCACAAGAGTTTTAGTAGTATATAAATGGCTGTGAGCAATTTTAGTAAGGAACAGGACAGAGTTGGTTGTGGTAAAAATGTACAGTGCATTTGACATGTATTGTCTCCTGAAGGATCCATTTGCAGCAGTTGGTATTGAACAAAGAGACTATCATCTCTGAGCAAACTTCTCAAGACGCCCAGGTTTATTGCAATTAGGTTCAATAGTTTAGTTTACTTAGTGTCAGTGCTTTTTTTCTTAAAAAAAAAAAAGGTGCTGGAACTCACACACGTCATACAACCCGACTTGCCTACCCTACAAGGTTCCATCCAAAAAAGGTGCTGGAACTCCGTTCTGGGCATTCTATGAGAAAAAAAACACTGCTTAGTGTTAACATTGTACCTGTGTATCAAGGGCATGTTCAGGGAGCAGGCAAAAATCCAAGATAGAAGGTATGCCTTTGTGATCTGACAAATGTAGAAAGAATTTTGATCATATCTTTGTCCCCATCTTCACTTTTTGGACAGGATAGAGTGATTGCTGCAAAAAAAAGTCTGAAATAGAAATACTGGATAAAACATTCAGAGAGAAAAAGATAGCGACAAGGAATGCAGTCAATAGTAAAAGAACCACTAAAAGGCAGAGAAAATGCAGAGTGCTTTTAATAAAATTGTTTTCTTAATAAGGAGAACAATCAAGCACTGGAATGGCTGGCCTTCAGACATTGTGGGTGCCCCATCCCTGAGGCTTTTAAAAAGAAACTGGACAGCCACTGGTCTGGAATGGTACTATAGGATCTCCTGCCTTAGCAGCGGGGTTGAACTAGAAGACCTCCAAGGTCCCTTCCAATTTTTATTATTCTTTTATACCATTGTTTTGACAGAGGTCGAAGAGAACCAAAGAGACTCCAGCAAAATAAATTAACGATAAAACTAATTGAAAATTATTTCAATTGAAATTGAAGTGAAGATAGATGGATTGTGTATTTTAGAGATAGGATATCAAAGAGTGGGATTGAAGAAAGGGTTCAAGGGTCCATTTGGGAAACTACAATTGCACACAAAATGGATAGGTTGGTAGCCAGCCATTTCACTACTAGAGGCAGGGACTCGGTTTCCACCTTACTGAACTGGATTCATTGTATAAGGTTGTGCCTGCAAAGACACGTTCCATTTTTCCTGCACTCTTATTATTCTTTATTGTTGGCGTAATTTTTATTTTGCTTGCCTCGTGCTTCTTTCACACCAGTTAAACTCTGGAATCAGAAAGAACAAGAATTAATCTGAAAATAGCAAAGCTCGGCTGCCGTTGGAGTCTGAGGCTTTGTTTTGAGCAATTTTACAAAATCTCTTTTTCCCCAGTAAATTCAGCGGGAGGTGCGGGGGCAGGGGAGGGAATCGGAATACTGTACCGCACAGACATAGCAGGAAGCAAGCAAGTTATCGAGAGCAACACAACCCACTCTTTCACAAGTCTCTGTCATCCAAAGGCGGTCACTCCTCCTGTTTGGCTTTGTAACTCACTCAAAAATCCAGTCCTCCTCCAGCCCACCTTCGTTCACGTCCCACCAACTCCCGCTCTGAAGAGGAGAGATCCAGGAATTGCGCACCCCGCCCTTTCCCGAGGTGGGATTGATAGACCCACAGCGTCGCCTGGTGGGTGACGGATAAGTGACTACGCTGCTCGGAGCTTTTCTTCAAGAAAAGACTCGAAGGAGGAGAATTAAGAAGTAGGCTGTTACTTTCCATCAGAGAAGTTATAGTCTGGAGCTGAAGAAAGCGCCGCCACACCCGATTGGCTCCTTCCTTTCACTCAAAAACTGAGAAACAGAAAGAGACCCTTTCTCCCTGAAGATGCAGACCCCCTCTTGAAACCAAAGGATAACAAGACCCATCTTCATTTTACCTTTTTCACTCTAAAAGTGTATTGATCTCAGTATTTTGCAGGTAAGCTGACTGCAACTTTGTATTCCTGCCCATTTTGTGATTTTATCTTAATAATTATCAGAGGACAAACAAGTTTAGAAACACTGTTGTTTATCAAGAGAAGCAAATTATGTTTCAGCACAAACAGATGGGGAATTTTGCTGTACTTTTGCTTGGATGTTCAGTTATAGGGGGCAAACCTCATCCTCTTATGCACTCTCTGCTTTCACAAAGCCTTTTTCTCAGCAGAAATTCTTCTTATGCCTGCAAGAAAATGACCTCAGAATACAGTTGCACTCTTCTTTTAGCCACCAAAGCAGTGTGTGTGTGTGTGTGTGTGTGTGTGAAACACAGAGGGGTAATTAATTAGAATATGTATTGTCTGTGGGGTCATATCAGCACAAATGATCATTGGATTGTTTTTAATCACAACTGGATTTTTCAAAACATCTTTCTGGTTTAACTCTGCTTAGCAAATTGTAGAACATTTGGTCTGTACTTCTGTTTGTGAGAACTTTTTCATCTTCTAATAAACTAGGAATACAGTTAGATGCTGCAACTTTTAAAAGCTGGCTAGTTTTCTTTCCTTTAATACTGCCATTCTAGATGTATTGCTTTCACTGTGCTACAAAGGAAAGTGCAAAATTCACTGGCTATTTTAAATTACTGTCTTAATTCCAGATTTATGAGTTGTACTTACTAGTGAGTTTGACTAACAAATTAAAATTTCTGTGTGTGTATGTATCTAGAACTTGATAGAGGAATAATTTACTGATCAGCACGGATTGTCCTCCTGTATTGTATTACTTGACACAAAAGTAGTAGCATCTTTAGCAAATAGCACGCTTGGTTCTTGGTTTTGCTGCTTCAGAGTGCAGACCTTGATCTCTAAGCTTACAAAAGTCAACCCAGCCCAGCCTTGCCTTCTGCTTCGTGGAAGAATGTGAATGCAAAGCAAGCAAATGCAGGGAGGAAGAACATTCTGAGCAATTACACATCAAGAATCTCTCTTCAGCTATTAGTTGAGAACATGTTACTGTCCAAAAACAGCTCCTTTCACAAAGGGATCACCACAAGCAGCCATAGTGCCAGGAGAGGCCCAGACTTGCATGGTTCTTTAGAAAGGACTCTGATCTGATCAGTGTCTTGGATCCTCAAAATGTCTAGACCTGCCACAGAACATGCTCTTCTTCTGCATAAGACTAGCCTGCTGAATGAAGCTGTAAGGAAAGTTATATCCAGGTTTTTAGTTAAGGCTGAATGTCGTATTTTTCAAGAGAGCATTAATACAACACCATGAAATACAGTGAAAAAAAGAAAGCAAAGCAATCGTAATAGAATATAATATTCTTAATAATAATGGTCAATGTTAGAGGATCTATTCAATGTATCCTTTTGTTAAGAAAACAAAATCAAGACTAGCTGTTAGTATGAAAACTTAAGAATATCTCCGCTCTATAATAGTTTGTTGTTACAGAATTACTATGCTTTTTGCTCAATAGAGAAATGTAATCTACTATAGCATACTGGGAAAGGTTATTTTAAGTTCCACATATTTCTGAACTTTTGTGGGCTTCACTGTTAAACATAAAGGAGAGCTACTGTCCTATACAATCTGTTTTCCATGTAAAGACACAATGAATTTTAGAGACCCAAACTGCAGTTGGAATTCCTTGATTTGCAGGCCTGAAAATGCCTGATTTGTTTAATCGTAAATATAAGTACTTTAAACCTAAGAACCGAGAGTGCAGTGGCTTTATTAAAATGGCTGCAGATCAAATCAGATTTGTAAGGGTAAAATGTTACTTTCATTAACAGCTTTTATCCCTCAATTCTAAGGTTTATGAGACCCAAGTTATGGGAAGAAGCCACAGCTCAATATTCAGCTCAGTATTTATTCTGTTTGAAAAAGACTTCGATTTTTGTCCATTGCCTTTTTTTAGTATCAGGGTTGGAAAAGAATTTTTATTTGCAATCTTGATTATTTTCCTTTCTTTGAAACATTGTCTCTGTAAAATATTCTTTATTATTGAACAGTAGAAGAATGTGTTTATAATGTGTAAATATATTTACACAAAGGAAACAAACAGTCCAACCTATCAAAAACAGTACCGTAAAAAACAGATTAGAAACACAAGTTAAGATAGGCAAGAAAATGGTAAGTGAGCACCTGTCCAGCCTAGATGAGTTCAAATCACCAGGACCAGATGGACTACACCCCAGGGTTCTGAATGAACTGGCAGATGTGATCTCAGAACCACTGAACTATATCTTTCAAAGATCCTGGAGCACTGGGGAACTACCAGAGGACTGGAAAAGAGTTGATGTAGTTCCCATCTTCAAAAAAGAAAAAAAAATGGATCCAGGAAACTATAGACCTATCAGCCTGACCTCAATACCTGGGAAGATCTTGGAAAAGATAATCAAACAATGAATCAGCGAACACCTAGAGCAGTGGTGGCGAACCTATGGCACGGGTGCCAGAGGCGGCACTCAGAGCCCTCTCTGTGGGCACGCGCGCCGTCACCCCAGTCCTAGGCCTTCAGCTGGGTTTTATAAAACCTTTTCGCTTTAGGCCTCTGTGGGGGCCTGGGCAGGAATGGGACAGATCTGAGAGTCTCTGGCAGAAGGGGGTGGGACAAGGGCAAGTGCCAAGACATGGTCCATTAGAGGAGCCTCACTGTTCCTCTCAGGCCATGTGGGGTGGTGGGGGTGGTGTGGGCTGCCCGGAGCTCTGGGCAGCAGAGGTCAAATGCCCAGCCTAGCCCTCGAGCACCTGCGGCACCAAGCCCAGCCCCACTTCCCCAAGGGGGCGCCCAGCTGCACTTACCTCCTCCTCAAGGCTGCTGCTACTGTGCTTGCTCTCCTTAGCCAAGTTGCTCATGATGGGTACGAGGGCAAAGTCAGAGGGAGGCCCATTCCCTCTCCATGGGAGGAGACCCGGCTTTGTATCCTGGGAGACACCAGGATAGGCCAGGAGGAGGGGACAAGGGCAGCAGGACTGGACTAAGGCAGGCCTTCCCTCAGACCCTCCCTCTCCTTCTTTCCTTCTTTCCTTTCTTCCTTCCTAAGTACAGAGTGGTGGAAAAATATTTGAGATGAGGGAGGGAGAAAAACAGGCAAGAAACGCAGCTAGGGCCAGGGCCAAGGCAGCGGGGGCCATTCCCTCACTGTTTCCAGGATGGCTTCGCGGGCCACATGAAACCACTTCACGGGCCGCATCTGGCCCCCAGGCCTTGTGTTTGACATGTTTGGTCTAGGGCAAGTCATTGGGCTGATTCCTGGTGAGGCTGGGGCCATGGGGTGTGTGTGTGGAGAAATCCCCGGTTCTGTTTCAGTGTGTGCAGGGAGATTGCTTGCATGATGGGATGCTCTTCCAAACAAATGCCATTCCTTCCATTGACCTACAAAGGGCATTGCTTTCGGGGGGGGGGACTTTATTTTGTAGTACTCATAAAAATAAGCCTTGCATTCTGAGATGGTACACTCCAGAAACAATGTATATTACAAGGTCGTTGAACAGTGGTTCTTAACCTGTGGGTCGGGACCCCATTTGGGGTCGATCGACCATTTCACGAGGATCGCCAAGCAAGGCTGTCTGCCATTTTTTTGGTCCGCCATTTTTCCCCCTTTTCCGGCGGGTGCCTTACCTCCCTTGGGCTGGGCCAGCTGGTGGTCGGCCTGCTCCGTCTCTGCCACTTGCCAGCTACGCCTCGGCCGGCGGAGGGGGCGGAACCACACATGTGCGGCGCTCCCGGGCAGGGAAAGTCCTCGACTTACAACCGGTTGGGTAGTCCTCGACTTACGACCAGTTTAGTCCTTGACTTACGACCGGTTTAGTCCTCGACGTACGACTGGTTTAGTCCTCGACTTACGACCGGTTGGGGTCGTGGCATTAAAAAGGTTGAGAACCACTGTCGTTGAATCAGGCCAGACTCTCTCACTGCCATGCAGAACGTTTGTGGTGGTATGTAAATGTGGACTCAATCATCCAGACCAAAAGCACATTAAAGGTCATTTTGACTGAAGAAGTTACACTACTTGGATGTGTAATGAAACGTCTCAGTTTAATGAACTTTGGTCCAGTTGCCATGATTTAACCTTTTACATGCTTTTGGCCTGGATGATTGAGTCTACATTTACATATTGCATTTCATTTTGGGGGGGGACCCCCTGCAAGAGTTAGTTCATTCCAACAACTCTCTGATTCTGTGCCTAAACAAAAAATGTTATTTTGACTGAAGAAGTTACTTGGATGAGTAATGAAACATCTCAGTTTAATATACTTTGGTCCATTTGCCATCATTAACCTTTTACATGTTTTGTGGAGGTAATAGGACCCAGATTGTTGGGAGCAATATGCTGACTCTGTAAACCGCTTAGAGAGTGTGGTAAAGTACTATGAAGCGGGATAGGTAAGTCTAAGGGCTATTGCTATTGTTTGTACACTGAAAACACTACAGCTGGGATGAAAAATACTGTTATAAGCAGGGCTTTTTTCTCATAGAACGCCCAGAACGGAGTTCCGGCACCTTTTTGGATGGGTACGCAAGGTGGGTTGTATGACATGTGTGAGTTCCGGCACCTTTTTTTTTTTTTAGAAAAAAAGCACTGGTTATAAGTTTAGAGAATCCCACAAATGTTGGTTCTTAAACTTTTGCTGTGGTCTCTCTCATAAAAGGCACGAAAGCAGCCATTTAATATAGGACTTTGGATACTTTGCCCAATTATCCATGTCTACTATATCATAGAAAACTTCCCTTCTCCCCAATTGCTGTTGAGAGAAGTAACACTATTCTATAGTAATTATACTCTTTTTCTTGGCATCTGTAACAAACCAGAGACACCAAAATGGAGTCTACTATTATGTATACAGCCATTTTGTAGGCATCCCAATGTTTCATGCAAAAGTATATTTTGTATGAGGTAGTCCTCATTTTATTTATTTTATTAGATATGGACTAGAAGCATGCTTAGTTTAACTTAGGATAAAGTAAGATACCGACACCCCAATCATGCTG